TTCCACGGGCAGATGCCAAATTATTCAATTATTAAAAATCTTATAAATTCCACGAATAGACAATACAAAAGGTAAATATGCCTACAGTACATAAAACACATAGTCCTCCATTTATTTACCAACATTACAATCCCACCTTGGATACTAGATACTATATTCTTTTCACGTATTTCTCTATAAGATAAATAAAAAACAAATATATGTTTTTTTGTAAAAAAGTTAAGTTTCAAATAACTGAAAAAAACGTATCTTTGTTGCTTCTAACATTATTAAAGAAATTACCTTATATTTCTTGAAAAATAACACATAGTGCATACAACAGAACAACCATAAACATCCACACTGTTTGATAATCTATAGATTTCTTTCGTCTATTTGATATTTGGAACAAAATCCTAATGTCAAAAATGGTATATAGTTCGCTCCGTTCTTTCAACCGTTAGTGTTGTTACCCAGAAAAAAATTACCCATGGCAATGTATAGCGATAAAACGACTCATTGTGCTGGCAACAAAGTGGCCAGTGGTTAAATTTGGCTATGGTTTAATTTGGCATTAAAAAACGAAATAGCGAGTTAACAACTTGTTAATGTTTTAACTATAGTCAAGTTAACAAATGGTGAAATGACATTTGACTACGGATAAAAAAACTGGCCCTAAGTGCTCTAAGAGAGTGAATGCACTTTTTATTCCAATAATCAGACCTAAATTTGAAATTAAGTACAAATTATAATAATAATAAAATATTACGAATTTCAAAGCAAAATTTTGTCACACGTGTTACAAATTTGGATAATTGATACATATTTACTATTAGGGTTTGCTTCAATATTAGGTTTTTGATATGCTTGTAACAAGCTTACTTGAATAAAGATATTTTAATTTCATTTCATATCGATATCGCTGTTTCTTCGAAATCGATATTTTTGGACGTCGATAATGGAAATGTATCGGGTTTCTATATAGCGTTGCATCCCTAATCGGAATGTCCATAATTGCATCCCTAATCGGAATGACATTGTCTTGTCTTCTATTCTTTAATAAATACTGCAAACAACAACAAACAAGCCAGGTGCAAGCAAACTTGTCTTCTATACTCTATGTAGTTTGTGTCATTTGTGTCTTCTGTTCACTAATGGATTAATCCCAAAGAGTACTTTTGTGATTAATCCGTTTGTTTGTACGATATTACCTTTTAAATGTTTGAAAGGAATCTAGAATTAAAAATTCATGTTCTATTACTCGCTTTATGGTTTGACACATCATTGCAGCTATTCCGTGTATGAAAAGAAATCCAAGGAAAAACTAAAAGATGATTGATTGTTTTTATGGTAGGTACATAAATCGTGATTGTTTAAACGTAATAACCTCGTTATGTATTAAACGTTTCCGTTTTTGAACATATTTTTCAAAATTGCATGCTTGTGATCTTTTAACCTTGCAAGGTTAGGAACATATGACTAAACTGAGCTATAGAATTATTAAATGGGCATCAAGGTGATGCATTGTAATTACATTATTTTGGTTTATTATATATTTGTTATTTAATATGATTATTTTTAATTCCGGTGTGTTTGCTTTGGTAATTCAATTGGGGTCAATTATCTTCTTTGAAAGTCACGATTTCATTTATTGAAATTGTAATATCTGCATTAATTTTTAGATAATTACAGTTACATTAGTTTATGCGATAATTTAGATCAATTTCATCAACAAGATATGTATTTCTTTTCTCTTTCCTTATAAAATAATCTACTCAAGATTTGACAGTTCGTTAAGTTTCTGCATGTGTCCCAAGGGACAAATTAAACTACTAGTACTAAGTGATGCAACTTAAGTAGGATTTTGTGACTGAGTCACTTGACCAAAATAAATTCCAACATTTGCAAACATGCTACTTGAGTGAGATTCGCTTAGTAATTTTAAATAAATCCCTTTAAGACATTATTTTTTAGACATAAAAAATAAGAGGCATAGATAAATAAATTAAAGTAGCGAAGTGACTTATACTGACAAGACAATCAACTAGATGCACCAAGTTGATTTGATAACTTGAGTGTATTGAGAAGTGAGTGATTTTTTTTTCACTTGAGTATGAGTTTGAAAAATTCTCCTGAGTGACTCAAGTAAAAACAGGACTAGAGTTGCATCACTACTACTACACCTTTTTTTTCATTATTTTTCTGCAGTATGTAAACCTTGTTTGCTTGGGGTAACTAAAAAGATCCACATTATTATAGAAATTGTTGTTAATAGATACCCACAATAGCAGTCTTTATAATCTGAAAGTTGTTATTGTTTTCAGTGAGACTAGTGATTTTCTTTTATACAATAAATCAAGTAGGTATATAATTCCAGCTGGAAAAGTATTGCATTGATATCAAAGATCAATATTATAAAAGCATGGTTAATTATGATACAGGTTTTGTCTTTAAGAGATATAATGTAGAAGTAATCATAAAAAATGGTTTTTAAAATCGGAATACATATTATTGGACATTTAATAGTTTAGTAAAAAAAATTTGTCAGATAATATAGGATATATGGTATTATAGAGATGTTTTCAACTATATAAAATATGTTATTATAAGAATGCATTAAACTTACTTGGTTTTCAATGTGAACATTTTGGCAGTGTGAGAGTCAAATCATATATTTAAACTTCATATTTTAAATTGTAACATCTGTTGGTTATTTTCCCAACTTGTAACCACTATGCCTTTGACTATACATTTGCAAAACCATTATGTTACTTTCTTAAAAGAAATTATCCCTTGTAAATAAATAGTTGTATAATATAATTGTTATAAAAAAAATTGTTACTGGACAAAATTTATACTTATTGGATAGTTGGTAAAAGTTATTGGACAGTTAGTGAATAAAGAAAAATAATAATTAAACAAGTAATAACAACATTTTGTTTATTTATTAATATTACACAAATTGATTTCCTAAATCCAGATATATTCAAAAACATAATTAATCAACCTAATACTGAACAAATTATTTAAGACTAAACTTTGATCAGTTTTAACATTTGAAATCATGAGAAATTAAGGAAATTAATCTATTAAATTAAAGTTCACAATAATCATTAGAAAGTAACAAATTAATATAAATGTTGCATACTTTATGGTCATAAAAGAAATTCAAAACATAAATGCATATATAGAGTAACCGGGACGGGTATTATGTTAATCATTGTTATGTTCTTCCAAGCTCATATCATCATTATCAGCATCATTGTTTTCTTCTCTATGAGATATCTATTGTTATATATTCTGGTACATGTTGTTGATGTTTGTATGTACCTTTAATGTGAAATATTAACGAGAAAATAGCACACGGCAAACAATTGCTTATTAATAACAATTATTTTTAACATATTTTGCAGGAATTTGTCATTTTCTCTTGCTCTCTTTTTTTTCTTTCACCTTCAACGCCGATTCTTTTTTCTCTTTTTGTTAATTAAACATAGCTCTATACTTATCTGATATTATGGCGTATGGAAATCTCACTGTATTTCTTTTACACTTTCGTTCAGGCGTTTTCAAAAGGTGCAAAGTGACTGTAAGATATAATTTGAATGCTGTGCTTTTTTGGTTAAATTTTAATAATTTGAGAATTTTCTGTCAGAGGGTGACTCCTGGCTTGGCTTGGTGGGGTGATTGGATCGCGTTGAGTTTTAGATGTAGGTCCTCGCGCGATCCTTCCTGTGGAAATGGTTGGGAGGAGAGGAATGTATCCAGAGGGCATGAGAGTGATGTTGTTTCCCTAAGCCAATAGACTACAGGCCCATGTTGAAAAAATTATGGGTCATTTGAACCACCAGGTGACATGTCTAGAGCGATATAAGAGCATAAAAAAATAAGATTCAGCACTATGCCGTCACTTGTAAGCTGTCCAACTGAGTGCAGGTGAGAATTCGAAAGTACAGGTAGAGTGAGTACATTTTGGTCACATATTTTTGTACGGCATTTTTATCACCGACAGATCCATTTAAAATAATAAAAAAACGCGCAGTGCCGTAAAAAAATGGTGCGCCACAAAGTCGGATTTTTTTTTTATTTTCCGACAATTACCAGTGTAAATTTGGTCATTTGATTTTGTACGGCATCTGTGTCATACTATTTCAATACTGCTTCTAATCCATTATTCCGCAACGCCGTAGAAAAATCATGCGACAAGGGGAAAAAATCGAGGGTTGCAACCCCCTCTCTTTCCGTAGTCCAGGGGGTGATTTGAAAAAGTTACGGCTTCGGTTCCAAAACATTATCTAGCACTCAAAAGTACTATTAAAAGTAATGCCGTCAAAAAATGATTGTTCCTTTGAATGTATATCAATAATCATCTTAATTTCATCGTATCCTTGATTTATAGAGCTGTAAAGTCATTTGATCCGGTACGGGAACTTTTTTTTTAACATGATAATGTAAAATACAATTGTTATATAGTATTGCCGTTCAAAAGAAACCGTTCTAAAAAAAATTATAGAGAAATGCAAAAACTGAAATTTTGCAAATTATTGTAAAAGTTTAAATATCATAGATTAATGAAATATAGCAGTTTTCTACATTTTATCCCTTGTTTTAAATAGTATTAACATAGATAAATTAGGAAAAAATGATGCCGTACATTTTTATGCAGACCATATCTTTTAGGCTGATGAAAGTGACGCTACAATTTTAAGGGTACTTTATGGCCATCTGATACAGTACGGTATTAACATATTTTTGAAGAGAACAATTGATAATATGATAAAATCACTATGACGTCTAACTGAACTGAAACGGTGTGTATATTATGTCCAAGAATTGAAACTGTCAATCCCAGTATCAACAGTTTTATATACTTTTTGGTTTAATATATACTTCAAACATTATTGATACATACATATAATTGATTTGTTTCATTGTAATGATGTGAATAAATAAAACAATCATTTTTTAGAAAAAATCGATAAATTTAATGATGATAATAAAAAATATGGTTTTTCTTTCAATTATTCAGTATCGGAATCAGTTGCTGAGTTGTTATCGGAATCAACGTCTTCATCGACGTCCGAATTATCTTCTCTATTATTTTCTGAAACATAAATATGTCTTTGTCAAAATCAAAGTCTTACGTACAAATTAAAGATGTAAAGATTTATTTATTTATTTATTTACCAATGACGTCATCATCTTCTTCGCCTGATTCCTCATCCGGTTCCGTTATGTCACAGACTTTTTGGGGGCATTCCTCGCCGTGAAACCAATCGAAATCGTACCGACCGTCATTAACAACCCATCCATAGTTCATTGGAAACAAGGTCGACGGTACTTGTTTGTAGGCATTACACCAAATCTGTGCTATGTAGGTACTTCTCTTCAGATGTTGCTCTAACTCCCGGAAACAAGGGGGAAACGACGTTGCTTCCAATTTCATAGCTGTCTTTTTGAAAGCTTCATTACTACTTTTCGGCGTATAAATCCTTTCAAATATAATACACCTTGCTTCGTTGACTGTTTTTCTTGCTTTTACGTTGTATAAAACGCATACATATTCTTGCAGAACATTGAAAGTTTGTTCCATGAGTAGTGGATTTGCAACAAGCATATTATGCCCCATTTTAATGAATGCGTCTTGGAACTTCCCTGATTTCTCCAATACTTTCAATGGTCTGGTTTTACCCTTCCTATAAAATGCGGGATTGAAGTCGCATCCCGTAAAAGCATGGAATGCAGCCAACGAAGAACAGAGATTTTCGCCCAAGTTTCTGTACACAGCACAAACGTCAATGTTTTTCACGTGGTTACCGGTTCCGAGTTGCATCCATATTTTGCGATCGACATTGAACTGATTCTCGCCCACATTTACTAAGATTTGTTTCATATTAGATAATAATATTACGAGAATATCTGTATCGGAACACTTGATCAAAATGTTTGTATTTGACCCAACAGCGCAAACATGATACACTATTTTTGTATCAGCTTCTTCGTGAGCACTGCAGGTATACTTTTCAGACACTTCGCTAACGACAGATTCTGCCACTTTTCTGTAAGAATGACACAGCTGATAATTTAGAAACACTTTCTGTGTAGGCTTAATCAACGTAGCTTTGTCTTGAGTCGACCAATCATTGACGAGGAACTGATTTGTCCAGTTCCTCGTCAATGATTGGTCGACTTGCTTGCTTGCTTGAATTTAATGTTCTTTAATTCGGCTATGAAATTTGCCGGACGTTTCGTTTGAGGTCCTTCGATAACGAAATCATCATTTCTTAAATTATCTCGTATAGAATGCTCGTAATCTTTTATGCTTGGTGTTGGGTAAGTATCAAAGATCACGTGGATTTCCGTAGCCACGTGATTTGTTAGATTACGGAGCAAATTATAACTTATAGCGCCAAAGGTAGAAGGTATGTCTCGAAGAGTATAGAGATAAAAAAATCCATCAATAATCACGACATCCAATTCCTTAGGAATACTTTCAACAATCTTTTCTCTATCTATCAAAGGTTTTACCAGCTTCGATTTATCTGTTTTATTAATGGTTCCATCCATATGACATAATGATAGTGAAACAGGGGTCAGAGGGTACTCCAGAACCTTCTCAATGTCAACATTTTGTTGTAGAGATATACCTAACAATCTTCCAAATAAATCCCTGTGTAGTTTAACTTCTGTCACCTTTCCATCTTGACGTTTCACTATTTTCTTGGCTTTGAAAGTATGAATAACATTTCTCTGGATAGATTGTTCAAATCGATGTGGATTTGATGCGCATTGTTCTGAAAATTTTTTCCTTTGCTCTTCTCCAATTTCCACAACATTCATTAGAAATTTATGGACTTCATGACTTGCAGACTGTCCATTACTAATATTGTATAACAAGTTATCTTTTAATGAAGATGAAAATGGATTCAAACGATTGTTAATACTGTCTTCAAACTGTTGTATTTGTAGTTGACTTTTTTCTATTTTGCTTTTCCTCAAATCATTTGTAAACTCTTCTCTTTTTTTCATTAGCACTTCGGTGAGTACGTGAGAGATAATTTCCGTTCGTAGAGCATGGCTTTTGCTCCACCTTTGCCGAGCAGATATTGAGTTCTTCATACATGCAATGCCAGTTGATCGTTTAGCAGCATCAGCGTTGATCGTACTTTCAACAGTAAAGTCTACTTCTCGCTTGGAAAAAGGCTTATTAGTTCTTTTTATCCCTACTACGACATTCAATCCAGGATGCGACTGTTCCACATTTTCCAAGTTGCAATGGTATAAAGTGAGGTACCTAGCATAGTTTTGATGATTGAAGACAAAAAATAGATTGGTAATGAGTGGCAAAGTATATTTGTAAAAATCGATATCACCTGTGCGAATACTTCGGTCGAAAAGAAAGTAGTTGCTAACCATTTCAACATAAGTAAGATAGAATTTCGGTGTACTTCCATGATCACCACTTAACGTTTTTCTACGGAAGTCTTCATATTTAGATAATATATTTATAACATCAACATTATCTACTGTAGGGTATGTAACTAATTTTCCACTAATATCTTCACCTTTCCTATTTTGAAAAGCTTTCAAGAAGAGTAAACACTCATCGCTTACTATTACATTTTCTTTCTCTGTGAAAAATTTGAAATGCATTCTTTCAATAGCAACAGACATAAGAGGATGTAAGCGTTTACATCTGTTGAAGTGCTTCCCCATAAGAAATGAGTTTACAGATCCGCTTGCCAATAAACCAGAATCAATTAAAATTTCCGATAAACCACAATTTTCAATGTATTTACCAATCGCTTTGAACTGCGACATTGCTATGTGGAAAGTTCCCAAGTGAACAAAAATGCGTTTCAATGTTGAGTCCTCATTTCTTCTCAGCTCAGAATTTTGTATTTTCAACGATTTACTAGCTATGGCCAAATCATAATGTACCTGTGCGTACTGTTGTTGGCATTCTTCAGCACCTTTGATACTCCGCATCATAGTTTCATGTACCACGTAATCCTTGGTAGGTGTTTTATTGATAGGGGTTAAATAAAATATATCTTGAATAATATTTTTGTCATTGGCAATTAAAGCGTTAAATCCTACCCACATTGGTGTAGGTATATTCAAAGCATGACTTATCATCCATACTCTATCTAACCTTCTAGCTTCTTCTAAATTAGTAGGTGTATTAACATTTGCTGGTAATTGGAGAGTTCCTTCAAACTTTGGAGTTTCTGTAAGTGGTAGTATAACGAGAGTATCGGCTTCGTAGTGTCTGCGGAATCGTTTTCTACGAGGCTGGTCACTTCCAATACCATCGTTACTTTCCTCAGAAGATATGTCAACTCGTGGAGCGTGATCTTAAAACGAAATTCCAACCGTATCCTGCATAGTGTCTCTACCATCACATGTTTCTACATATCGATCAAAATTATCGAAAGCAAAACCACTATTGAGAGATGGTTGCAATACCATACCAGCAGGGCATACCTTCTCTGTTTCCGATATAGTATAGGTTGCTTCCGTCTCCAATTCTAATACTTTCGAGTACGAAATGCAATGTCCGTAGGAATGTAAGAGACGTAGAAGCTTTTCACTACTACTCAAACTTTTGACTGTTATTCCAAGAGTTATATGTTTGGATGTCTTAACTCTTCCTCTGTGAATAGTATAGATAACATCAGAAGCATAAGACTTGGCTAAGACCAACACTTTCGGGTCTTTTATTTTATCCACGTCACCTCCAGTTAACAAAAGACTATAAAAACGTAATAGAGCATATGGAATTTCACATTCACCTTTGATGAATTTTGGCGCAGTTACATTGTCATTGATTGGATTTTTTTCAACTCCTAAAACAATCTTGCGCAGGAATAACGCTGAAGAATTAATAGTGTTTTCTTCATTCACGTACGTCATATCAATATTTTCTAGAGTTGCACTAGCAGAGACAACGTGTTTGCATCCACGATTGTAAATAAAGATGACAGCGTCCTTGAAATGTTGTAAAATTTCACTCTGTATATTGGACGTGTCAAAACACTTAGGTAACTTCTGATTATCATACTCTTCCAATAAAAATTGTCTGAATTAATTGAGCAAGAAGGAATATTGGAAAATGCGCATATTTTCGACAATTTCTTCCTGAATAAATGTTAAGAGATTCTTACGAGCTCGCTCGTATTTTTGTCTCCTGAAGTGCCAATCAGTATTTTCTTTTTTTTTCCTGGAGTTATTTAAATATTGAGTTTTACAAACCCTATGATATGGTATGGGTACTGATATCTCTTGACATTGGTCAATCCTTTGTAAAATCGCTAAATCATATTTTGCAGTAGCTAAATCTATAATAATACGAAATGTTTCGTAATTTTTTTTCGCTTCAGCAAAGCTACATACCATGAGCTGGCGGTTATGTCGTTTGCGTACTTGCGCACAAAATACACAAGCAGTTGGACCATGTTCAAAAGATACGTGCTCTTCAGGTTCTTCGTTATTTCCGCTTAAAAAAAAAAATATTTTGGTTAGTCATAGTCAGATTGTCACAATACATGTAATTTTCGTTAATAATAGAACAACAACAAAAAAATTTCAAATATAACTGTCAATAAAGTATTTGTTGTATTCCCTGTTTAAAAATATTGATTGAAAAAATAAGTCACTATTATGAGATTTTTATAAGAGTTTAAAAAAAAAAACAACTTTTACAACATTTTTTCTATCTATAATAAATAACTTTTGAGATTCGTTTAAATTTTCGGAATAAATTATACTAATACCGGTAACTTGAAAAATTCAAAAAAAAATTGAAAAATCAAAATTTCAATTTTTTCTTAATTTCATTTTTACAAGATTAGATTTTTTTTTTTAATAACATTTTTTTTATTCACCTTTTTATTTAATTGTCATTGATTATAAACACAATACTCGACCATCGAACGTCCTCATACTTCGAATTCAATGCTATTATTCGTGTATATTTTAGATGATATTTATTGTCAGATTATATGAAACAATTGCTACTATTAATTATCGAAAATACAAAGATATAAATATGATGAACAAGATATTTTTGGCAACTTATAATAAATAAAAATTAATACCTTGGATTATTCTCGTTGGCGTCGGGATCAACAATTTCTTCTATTTTTCGTTTGCCGGATAAGTTTGTTAATTGTTTATAACACTTTTGATGGTATCCTTTTTCCTCAAGATCTTTAGGCAATTGAATTGAAGCAACATCAATGGATCTTCTGGAGGTGTTAGACTGTTGCTTACTCCTAACCTCAATTGCTTCGATGCAATTTTTTAAAATTGCGCTTGACAGACATTTTATCCGGTTATCAATAGGATCACCTGGCAAATTACAAATAAAACACTCACGTTCTTGTTCTTTTTCTTGAACATTTCTTTCACTTTCACTAGAGTTTTCATTCTCCACGAGGTCAGACATGATCAGAGTGCTCGCAACACGTAAACAACAGCTGTTTTCAATCTCCGCGTCGACTGCGAAGCGAACAGTACACACATACTAATCGAACTATGTGTGAGCGTACGCAAACACCTTACTCGGGTCCAAGCCGAGTACATCCGAATAAAATACGATATTCCCTACAAATGCTAAACGTCGCACAGTAGTTTAGAATGCACATTTAAATTAGTACAAATAAACCAATGAGTTTAATAACTAGAGAAGCAATCCCATACAACAGACGCACCAAAAAGCGTAGCACTTTTTCGGAATCAGGACGTAGCTTTGCAAATAATATTTATACTATATAATATAAATAGATTTATTATATTTGTCTCCCTCATATCTACGATTAAACTTTAAATTAAACAAAGACAGAATATGTGCGAACGACAGAATGAACGGAAAAATGGGTAATTGATATTGTGTTGCCAGCTGTCGAAAATTTCACCCATTGTGATGAATGAATGAATGAACGAGTAGTGTAGATATATGTATAAAATCAATTAGTAAAATACTGTAACTTTGAAAATTTCTTTGCAAAAACTTTGAAAAAAAAAACAATTACGAAATTAGGCTCTGTGCACATATATCCTTTTGTTTTTCGATAAAGTTAGTGGTTACGACAAAAACATTTGTTAAAGTTCATAAAACATCAAACAAACAATTTACGTATTTTCAAAAGTTGTATCTCGACAACTAACGAATTATTCCACGCATTGAAAAAATTAAACCACATTATAGCCACGTTAATTAAAAAGAAAAGGTTCCCCTATACTTGGGAAAATTGAAAAATAGCAGTGGCAACACTGACGACAAAAGTCGAAATTTTATTTGAAAAAAATTAAATATTTTTATTTTATAATCTAGCTTTAATTTTGTATTTATTGCCAAAAATGTTAATGAGTTAAGTGTGAAACTTAATATTATTTCGTATTATGTGTATTTGTGAAAGAGAATCGAATTTTATCTACTGTTTTTCTTTGTTTTTACGGAGCATTTTTTTGTACTTTCTTGGCGGGAGTTGAATGAGTAATGAAGTGCAAAACGAAAAAACTAAGACAAACGTCTTAGTTTTAGTAGCTTCAGATTTTTGGTATGTATTGCGTATCTAGACATATTAATATCATTGAAATAAACTATCTAAATGTCGTATAAAAAAAAATTCACCTTACACTTCGTTATATGGATTTTTTCTTTTTCAGTTTTTTTCCCCTTTGAACCAACGAAAATGTACGGCACATGAAAAAATATTATCTATACATAAAATACTTTCAAAATAAATTTATTTCATGTTGTATCAAATCATCCCCTGGACTACGGAAAGAGAGGGGGTTGCAACCCTCGATTTTTTCCCCTTGTCGCATGATTTTTCTACGGCGTTGCGGAATAATGGATTAGAAGCAGTATTGAAATAGTATGACACAGATGCCGTACAAAATCAAATGACCAAATTTACACTGGTAATTGTCGGAAAATAAAAAAAAAATCCGACTTTGTGGCGCACCATTTTTTTACGGCACTGCGCGTTTTTTTATTATTTTAAATGGATCTGTCGGTGATAAAAATGCCGTACAAAAATATGTGACCAAAATGTACTCACTCTACCTGTACTTTCGAATTCTCACCTGCACTCAGTTGGACAGCTTACAAGTGACGGCATAGTGCTGAATCTTATTTTTTTATGCTCTTATATCGCTCTAGACAGGTCACCTGGTGGTTCAAATGACCCATAATTTTTTCAACATGGGCCTGTAGTCTACAAGATGAGGAAAAGGGTTTGGTCGAGGATTTTCCTCAAGAAATTTTGATACACTTCGTTGCAAATTATTAACTTTTAAAAAGAAACCCTACTTTATTAACCTTTTAATATAAAGTTCTTAGATATACCCTTCTTTTTCTGATGAAATAGGTCGCGGTCAGGAAGTCCTATGCTCAGGTTTTCTTAACTCAAAATGCAGAGTGGAATTAGGAATATCATATTTTTAGGAGAAATAGCTCGAAAATATAAGTATCACACGCGTACGATTACTAAAACCGAAATTAGACCATACTAGCTTGGTGTTTCTCGTTTTATCTAGACAGTTTGTTCTTCGAATTTATAGTAGTAGTAGAGATAATTGATGTAAGTAAAAATATCTATAGAACTTTATAGTAAAAAATGTTCTATTGAGCAGGTAGTTGCGCAGACACAGAAGCAGAAAACTGTTGTTCACTTGTAACTTCATTGAATCGGTCAGCTTCCAATTCTAGAATTTCATTGTCCTCCGATTCTGAATTACTCCGACTATCGTCACTAGGACTAGATTCAACGTCATCCACGCCGTATAAAAGTCCTCTTCTGAATCCAGCATCAAAGCCTCTATTCCATTACTTCTCAGTCTTTTTCTTGTGCGATTTGGCATAGTAATAGTCCTTTTTGAGGGTCCTGGGTTGTCACTTATTATTTAGAATAAAAAGTGTAAGCAAATTCATCAAAAAACAACTTAAAAATCGCAAATAACGACAGTAACAGTGACGCAAACTGTCGGCTGGGTAGCAAAAACAATATGGCGCACTTGTAGGCCACGCCCACCAATTCAAATATAAGTTCTTTCCCTTGAGGCCTAAACAAGTTCCACGACCCGTTGTGCTATGGCCGCTATTCCGCAGCTCATACAAATCTATTCGGTACAATCACGTGATATCACGTGGACGGCCACTGGCTGGCGTGCCAAATCACGCATTTGTGCGTGATGCACTCACAATTCTTGGAGAGTTATTACTATGTTCCTATTTCAGAATTTTCTTTATTTCCTTCTGACTTCTATTAAGAGAGCGTTTATCATGGCTATTTCGGCTGGTATGCCAACGTCGTCTTAATTTTCTCTTTTCTAAAATCTTGTTCCTAATTTCTAGAGTATAGTTTTTTCTCGAATGAAGTCGTTTATTTATAAGGTGTTGATAGCCAGGTAGCAGTCGTTACCATATGGTAATTTATTAGTTAGATTGTAAGTGGCATTTTCGACTTCTTCAGTTTTAAGATAATTTTTAGGTTAGCGTTTTCATTTATATAAGTTTTCATTTATTATTTTTCATAATTAGTATTCCTATTGTAAAGAGTTTTTTGCGGTTCCTTGTAGATGACGGTGGGACTTAAGGTACATATTGCAGGTCAGAAAATCCATCCAACCGGGATTCTACTTTAGTGCAGGGGCAGTTTGACTGGTTCACGCGTTGGTCGGGCATTGCACGCCTCCGCCCCGTCTGGGGGATGCAATTCGATTGTCTCTGAGACGTACCCTCAACCGCAGAGGGACTTGCCCTTTTCAGGGCGGGCCGAAATTGAGGCGAACCGTGCGGTGTATGGTCTCCGGGCCGATCCTGTGCATCACCTTCTATGCGAGGGACATCGCTGGGTTTTAGTGGGTACCCCTGCTCTTTGATTAGCCCCAGTCCGGGGCGGGTCTGCAGGAGGGAGCCCAACATAACCCCGGTTAGCCGCGCTGGCGACCCGGAGTATGTAATAATTAGTGTTTTCGGAACCGGTATTCTTTTTGAGAACCTTTTGAAGTTCGGTAAATTCGGTACTTTTGTATAACGGAACCGGGATTTCCCGGTTCTTTCGGTATTTTCGGTCCTTGCTAGTTTTTGTTATAGAAAACAAGTGATATGATTCAAAAGTAAACTAAAATGTAGTATAAAGTAATTTTAATTCGCATTTTTTTCTTCTACTTATTCATATACTTAGTAGGTAATTATATATAAATCAGTCTATAATCAATCGCAGTGTTGTTGTTATGTATTTACTGTCAATAAAATGGTAAAAATTTGGCAGTCACTTTAGATTCCTTAAACATTTAGAAATATCTTAAACATTTTTCAAAGAAAATAAAATTAGACTTTATTAAAAAAAATATTGAAACATAATATCTCCTTCCAAGTATTCATAAAATATAGTTTAACCAAAGTTTAGCTTTTTAAGAGCTTTTAGCTCTCTATCTTCTCTATAATAGGATCTTAAAAACAACAGTGCATCTAGACTTTTGTCTCTCAAACGAGATCTTATTTTGTTGCATAGCAAACCAGCCGAAGAGAAAACTCTTTCTGGCTCAACACTGATTGGCGGAATCGTTAATAAATGGTCATGTGCCTGAGACCACGTAACCACGTAAAGTAACGACCACGATCTCCTCTATTCTCAAATAGGGCCATTTCAATCCTAACATTCGTAAAGAGATCTTCATGAGCAGAAGATCTAACGTCTTTTTCACTAACAGCTTTTGCAAGCTCAGCATTTAAAAAGGCGATGAGCGCCTTTTATCAAAGCAAACTAATTTATCATTATTTATCTTTCATTAACTATACTATGGACTATTCCTTTTTTTATTATTTTTCATTAAGAAGATTTCCATCTTTTATTTTGGACATTTTTAGATTTTTATTTATATGACATTGACAATAATCTGTCCCGCTCATTCTGGACTGGGTGACGGCTTAAAATCGGTGGTTCATTCATTCTTGGGTGATTTACGTGCACCAAGCCTTGATCCTTATCTTACTGCTGCACACAGGTATATCACTTATAGCATTACGTATTCTGATCTCAACTGTTATTTGTATTGAACAAGTTGTGATGTAGTTGTGTGCTGTTGTATCTTCTAGGCCGCGAAAAAAACTAATGAATCTTCATCATTTTGTTGGAAGAAATAACTTTCTGAATTTTGCAAGTAATTCAGAGTCACAGCTGCAACGTTGAGACGCCGTTCTGTGTATCGTTTTTTTAACACCATGAAAATTTTTTCGGTCACATAGTTATTTTCGATATTGTCAATTTTTTTTAATGCAAATTTGATAGCAACAGCTGTCAATAATGTAGAATCGTGACGACATAAAGCCTCTAATACAGTTTTGATTATGTCAAGAACTTCGTGTAATTTCCCAATTAGTTCCCAATCTGCTTGAGAATTTTATTGTGAATTTTAAATCAATTATTTGCTTTC